TCTCTACTGTACCTGTAGTGTATTAAAATGACCGAAAAGTTATTCTTAGTGCAATTTTTTGCTTTTTGAATAAAAAAACTGATTCTTCGCACTTTTCAACATAAAAAAGCTCTCTTGTGAATTTTCGTTATAGCTAGCCGTTTTTGAGATATTTCGATTTTTAAGGTTCGATGCATTTTTAATTACTTATGATAAAATAACGTTAAAAAGTCAGTATCTCGATAATTTTTAGAAGTAGGCTGTGCCTGCAAATATTTTTCAAATTGAAAGCAGAATAAGGTTAAACGTCAATTAGTTGACAGTTTTGTTGTCTTTTGAAACCTGAAACGTTTTTTTGCAATTGTGAATGCACGAAATTTAGTTTCTTTTACCTGTTTTTTTTTTTTGTAAGTTTTATAAAAATGCCATTTTTATTCTCCAATCAAGAGTTAGCGGATATTCATTTTGTATATGGCTTTGTAAATGGAAACATAATTGTTCGTCAGCGCAGATTTACCCGATTGATTCTACGTGAGTTTGATAGAGATCCGACCACAAGTGTTAGGCGAGTTTCTGGTGCCTTGGGAATTTCAGCAAGCCATGTTCACCGTGTTCTTAGAAATGACCATAGACGTCATTACCATTTGCAACCTGTGCAAAGACTACAGCCAGGGGACGGAGAACGAAGAATCACATTTTATCAGTGGATTCTTGATAGAACTGATAATAATAGGGAGTTTTTAAGTAACATTTTGTGGACCGATGAGTCATGCTTCACTAGACGTGGAGTGGTAAATTTTCACAACCAACATATTTGGTAGCATCAAAATCCGCATGCAGTTCGGGAAAGAAATTTTTAGCATGAATTTAGTGTGAACGTGTGGGTTGGTATCTACCGTAATAGACTATTTGGACCCTACCGTTTGCCTGCAAGGTTAAATGCTGCGACCTTCTTGGAATTTTTAAAGGCTGAACATGCAAATATGTGGGATGACGTTATGTTAGATTTAAGAAGGTTGGCCTGGTTCCAGCTTGATGGTTGTCCAGCTCATTATTCGAGAACAGTCGAGAATAGCTAGAAACTGGCTGGACGAAAATTATCCAGAAAGATGGATCGGCCGTGGAGGACCAGTCACCTGGCCTCCACGATCCCCTGATCTAAATCCATTAGATTTCTTTGTGTGGGGATTTCTAAAAGAAAAAGTGCACCAGACCCCCGTAACCACAAGAGATATGCTAATAGACTAGGCTAAGGCCTTATTTGAATAATGCTATACCACGTTCGATCATTCGTAGATGTGAATTGTGTATTGAACAATTGGGTTTACATTTCGAGCAACTACTTTAAATTTTGTATGTTTGTCCTAACTATCCAATAGCATTTTAGTTGTAAATAGTTAGTTTAACTTGTTAAAAATAATATTGGAAAATTAAACAAATTAATATTCTGTTTTTTTTTGTGTTTATTTGGAGTTAGGAATTATTGCTGTGTTTAAAAACACAATCTAAACGATCATCTTAATTACTTGTAATGCCCAAATCGAAAATGTAAAAAAATATCATTTTCCCATAAATAATAAAAAATGCATCGAACCTTAAAAATCGAAATATCTCAAAAAACGGCTAACTATAACGAAAACTCACAGGAGAGCTTTTTTATGCAGAAAAGTGCGAAAAATCAGTTTTTTTATTCAAAAAGCAAAAAATTACACTAAGAAAAAATTTTCGGTCATTTTAATACACTACAGGTACAGTAGAGAGCGCCCTCTAGCGGCTACAGTAAAACTATGCCCATGGTTCGTTTTGTCGTACCAAAAAACCCTTTTATAACAATTTCCACTGTTATACATATTGTTCGAAATATTGAAAAAAAACTATTTTAGAAAGTAAATTTAAACACCCTGTATTTCGGAAGCGACGCATTTTTCGACTTCATGCATTAATTTTAAAAGTTCTATCGAATCTTAAAGTTCTGCAACAATAAACTGAAACACCCTGTATATGACACTTGGGTGTATCTATACATTTCACGAGTATCGTCATCTTTTGATCCGAACTGTGTCAGAAAGAGTGACTAACTTCATATTACTTTTCTTCTTTGTTTCCTTTCGTTGGATATCGATAATTTTATTCCAATATTTTAGGGTACCGATACTTCCTAAAACGATAAGAATCGATACATAACAATACTTTTCGTGGACCTAAACATCCCTAATCCCCTAATATTGACAGCTTGTCGCTCTTGTCAACTGGGCTGCAGGGTGCGGTGTTGCCTTTACTATCTTGCATTTTGCTAAATTCTTATGACAAATAAAAACTTCAAATGAAATATTGACGAATATGAACGGATATGCATAGAATTCAGAATATAAATTCATATTGCAAATTTCAGATTGTCTATGCATGGACTTGAACTGGATTTTTAGGTATTTTTACCAAAAAGAGAATATTTACCGATAACATTATTCTCCACGATTTTTCAAAATAATTTAAGCATTTCTATACTTGCCGAAAAAGAGCTGAAACCAAAAATAAAGTGTTATGCCCCACATCAGTGATACATATGCATACACACTCAGGCAGTAGGGTACATGAGATGCGTAGATTTGGATTGCCTATGATTACGAACCCACATCCTCATCCCTTACTCCGCTTGCCCTAAATCGATTTTTGTGCATACAAAAGGTACAGACTGGTAGATTACCGTCATTACCTCATCACCGGACAAGCAATAAAGAAACCGAAACCTGTCTGTTTCCAAAATAAATTATTAATTAAAATCAGAGGTGAGTTCAGGAGTAAAACAGAACCGAAAAAGGAGTTTCCAGAATGGTTGCAAAATACTTTGAAAGAGCGACCAGTATGCACATTGTAGAAGTTGCAATATAGAACTATGCCCTCAAAAAACATGTTGTGTGCGCGTCCAGTCCAATAACAGACGTTTTTCGTAACGTAACTCAAAGGTCCTTGATCTACCTCTGATCTTGGGACGGCATTTACCTTATACCGAAGTCAACGACACTGTTTACCGATTCCGTTCTTTTGCCGGTTCGGCAACACTGCAGATGTGCAGATCACTTTAAAAGCAATTGATATCCCAGACGTGTTATGATAATAGAAATAATGAGAACATATAACAGTGTTTGGAGATATATTTTCATAAATATCGATGTTTTAGGACACAGAAATGCAGAGTGTGCTGTTTGTTTCCATTTGATGTGGATTTATAGATCATAAATTGGCAAAAATTGTTTTTGGTGTAACAAAAGATGATGAACCAGTTGGAATACGTTTTATATCCTTTTTTTTGCAAAATAACAAATATCGATATATTTCAGCAGGTACGTATTATGTACACCACCCTGTACGTGATATACAGACAAAACTAGATTGCCATGCATGAACAGTCGTCAAAAGCAGTGAAAACGTCCTACCAAATATTATTACTATTAATTCTCTCATTTTCATTGGTCCATTTAAATAACTGACCGTCTTTTCTGAAATGACAAAAATTGAAATTCTATGAAAATTATCCTAAATTTAAAGCACAAAGAATAATATTACATCTATAATGTACCCTTATTTATAAGGCAACCATTTTTTCATCACATTATTCAACATTTCAATAGAAATCACTGATATTCAGACAGCCTTGACAGCTTCCGTCAAATTGCATTTCGATAAGGGTCCAAGGGACCGTTAAATATTAATGTTGATGATATTGGCCCTAAGTGCTACATAAGCTTATCCAGCAGCAAACAGTCGAGCCTAGATAAATGACTGCATGATCGACTGTACAACCTTGCATCCTGCCTCATGTGAGGATTGAACTCAAGACCCCTGGTTTACAAGACCAGTGCTCTGCCACTGAGCTACAGGGGCTTGTAGTTTCAGTATTCGTAAAACGGCATTTGAAATCGGTGGCTTTTATTAACATATCTGCTTTTTAAACAAATTTACTTATGAATAAAGATACTGGAAAACTGTTATTAAATTATTGCATTGCCATCGGTCTTTGACACGTGTGCAAAGTTTCTGATTAATCAAACTTCTGGAAATTGGTGAAAATTATGCTCAAAGATTCCGCTACATACGTACATACAGGCCAAGCTAATAGAATCGTATTAAAAAAGAAACCAATCAAGTTCGATTTCCGTTTGACAGTAGTTTCGACCACAATGGCGTCTTTCAAAGCACAATTTATATCAGTTACAAGTTGTACTTTGAAAAAGGCACCGTGGCGGCCTTAATGTTAGTCAGAAGAAGGAATACCAAACCTATGTGGTTTCATTTAGCGGCCAGATAATCATGGAACCCTGTCAGCAGGACACGCATCAGGTGTTCCAGTAACAGTCTTATTTCAGTACTGTTCGTACCAAAAAATCTTACAAACATCTTAAACCTGATTAAGTTGTCCAGGGTCATTCAATTTGCTGATTATGAATCTGATACCAGGACTAGCATATTAACGCATTGACGGAACATCAGTATACTGAATCTAGTATCATGATTAATGAAACTGAAATGAAATTTGAGAAATGATATTCAAGGGATTGAAATCCCCCTTAACCATTCATATTTTTTATTTTCGATGCACTATCTAAAAGAGGCGTCAAACATGTTTGGTTTATTTGTACAGCCTGTTAGCTGACCGTCAGCAAACTGATAGTCGGTAACAAGTCATGACCTAGTTTATTCAGTTAGCTGTCACCGACACCGCGCTGACTGTTTAGATTGAGTACATGAGAACGTTACGATTTGGCTGAGGGAGCTTGGACCGATTACAAACAACTGATCCACTGTTCGTACAGAAATTTTATGAGTGTCAAATTAGTCAGCAGATTATTGTCCAGTAAATTGTCAGAGCTCGACATCAAGTACAATCCTTTTTCGAGTGTACCATCTTTCAGCATGAGGCAGACACTTTAGAGAAAAAGTAACAGCATAAAAAAATGTCAAGTAGATTAACTCAGTGAATCCCATTGAATTCTCATTTAAAAAGTATCGACGAATTCGGAGGAATGTGCTTCCACACATCAAATGACAAGTTGAAGAAGCAAATAATACGAATTCTGAATAAACGTCTACGACGATTATGTATAAAAAATGTATCGGTCTAATCATCTTAGCAAATTTACCGAAATAATTGTCAAGTCGAGGCACAATGCAGGTTTTGGCACTTGTTGGTAAGTGCGGCCGCACACCAAAGCGATACGCCACATTCATGCAACATTTACTTCGCCACAATTTCTATGCCTCGTTGGTGCTTGGAACAATTGTGTCTTATTACCCCACACCGGACACACCATTTCTCGTGTAGCTTTGAAGTTAGTTAAAATGTCGACAACGTCATCGTCGGACGATGACGATTTTTTAACGTGGCAATTATCAAGAAGAAAAAGACGTTTTTGGGTTCATCCGTATAATGAAGATTGCACAATTCACGGAAATTTCATACCTTCACAACAGCTGAAATCTGACGAAGACAAATTCCAGTTATATCATCGAATGTCTCAAAATACATACCAATTATTATTGGATCTAGTTAAACCAAGTTTAACAAAACAAAATACCCACTACAGAGGTTGTGTTCCTGCTGAAGAGCGCTTATTGATCACTATAAGGTAATTGTGCTAAAGAAGTGTTTGAAAAATGAAATACACTTCTCAAATACATCATATTTGGGGAGTGCCATTTTCTAAGAGTTGTATTATTTTTGTGTTTTTAAGTCGTCAATTTAGTTTATTTAGGTAAATAAGATAATTTTGAACAATGTCATGAATGAATGTAACAGTTGATTCTGCCAAACGCGATCGATTTGAATACCATCAGAAAGTAGCAAAATGAACCGTATACAGGTTTATAAAAATTAAACGTTTACGATTAGTAAGTTTGTTATTAGTAAAAATATAAAATTGTTTAAATTGACAAAATTAGTAGCAAGTTACGAGTTGGACATTTTACATGGATATATTCAAATTTTTTGTTAGTTTTGAAAGTAAAAAGGGATATCATGTAGGGAGGTATGCTAAGAAAAGTCCGATTTAGTTGCCCTTATATTTTAATACTCATAATACTGAATAAGTTTGCGTCTGTAGATTATCGAGGGATTGTTGTCGATCTTCAAGTCCATCATCTGTGGAACCTTGAGTCACTGAGGCTGATAACTGTTGAGTAGGAGGATCATGTAGAAATCGTTCAGAAAAGTTAGTGTAGAATGATGCTACATTTGGCAAATCTGCAGAATGATGATGTCTGCTTGAAGGCTGTCCATATTTAATCTTTTCTATTATCTCCAGTACTTCTCTTTGAAATATTAACTGTTGGTGTTGGGACATTGATGCCACATGTGGAACTAGACTTAAAAGAAATAGCTCGCACGGTTCTTTTTTGTGTGCCTCGGATTCTTTTTTATCCTCTAGCCTCTTTTTTTTCAATGTAAAATATTCAATGGCACATTTATCTGGTTCAGTCATTTGTTTGCAGACGAACCAGCTATAGGTGACGGAACTTCATGTCTCAATAGATCTTCATCTAGAGATGTGGCATCGGTTATCGTATTTAAAGATTGCTCTATATGAGGTTCAGGCTCAGAAAAATTGTTAGATTCTTGTTCATTGTCGTGTATTACGTTCGTTATATTACCTTCTTGACGTCGATTTTTAGTAAATGGATTTAGAAACTGCAAATATGTTGACAAGTAGTAGCCTTTTTTAGATCCAGCACCAGAACAACTTTTCGATTTTGAAGTTAGAGTTCTTGTGTAGGCAGAACGAATCGATTTCCATTTTAACTTACAGTCATCACCTATAAAGAAATAATATGTATGGTCATTTCAATTTCACATTCACATATTCAACAATACAAACTAACAATAATTTCTTAGTAATAACTAACACATTTTTTAGGTATTTGGCTACAGGATCTTCATTTCGAGCAATGTCTTACATATTTAAAAGAGGTGAAACAACTATTGGAAAAATAGTTAATGAAAGTTGTGAAGCCATATGGAAAGTCTTACAACCGATTTATATGAAAAAACCAAGCACAAATGATTGGCTAAGTATTTCACAAGAATTTCTTCAAAGGTGGAATTTACCTAACTGCATAGGCGCAATAGATGGGAAACATATTCGGATACAGAAACCTATGAACTCAGGATCATCGTACTTTAACTATAAAGAATATTTTTCCATTCATCTTATGGCATGTGCTGATGCAAATGGATCATTTACAACTGTCGACGTAGGGGATTATGGTCGGAATAATGATTCAGGAGTATTTAGAAATTCAGGCTTAGGCCAAGCACTATGTAATAAAACATTAAATATACCTGAGTCAGTGCCGTTGCCAGGTGAAGAGCAATTCGGACAACCATTTCAATATTATTTTGCCGCAGACGAAGGTTTTCCTCTATCAATCAATATAATGAGACCTTATAATGGTAGAGCTTTGAACAATAATCGTCGAATATTTAATTATCGGCTATCACGTGGACGAAAAATAGTCGAGTGCGCCTTCGGCATGCTTGTATCCAAATTTCGAGTATTCGAAACGCCAATCTCATGTTCCGTTCAGAAAGTTGATAAAATCGTTAAGGCTGCTTGTATTTTACACAATTTCATAAAAAACCATGATAATATTATTTTAAATCCGACTGATGATGCAACAAACATTACCAATATCCCCATAATAATAAACCAAGGAAGACCAAATAACAATTCAACAGAATCTAGAGAATACCTATGTAATTATTTTCAGAAACCATACCGCTTGGTACCATGGCAAAATAAATATACAGTATAATATTTGTACAATAAAAAAATTAGTTGATACCTACTTGTTTCATTGAATTTTTCGCCGATTTTTGCCCATATGAGATCTGTTGCTCTTCTATTGCTGTACTCAGAGAGTTTGTAATTATATAAGGGAGGATTTTTCTCCACCTCACTGATAAATTCGATATTAAAATCCACATTGTCTTTCATTATGGCAATTATGGCAAACATGTGGCTTGGCGTTGCGCGCTACAAAGAACGAACCTGTTCGATCTTGAAAACTAGCGACGTATTTGTTGAATCGCCACAAAATGCGCTCGATACAAATGTGTCTCTGGTGTGCGTGTCTGTGTGCAGATATATGGAAGTCTTAAAAGTGTCGGACTTTAATGTGGCGCAAGAATTGTATTAATACAAATGTATGCCTGGTGTGCGGCCTGACTAATGCGACGATAATTTCACGCAACTGTTTGACATCCTTCGAACGCATAGGATTCATAGTTCTAAATAACAACAAAATGGTGAAGTAGCTTTTCTGAGAAATTCTATTAATTTATCCCTAAACACCTGTTTTCCGGCCATCACTACTAGTTTATTGAGCAATATACAGGGTCCGCTAAAACAGCATTCATTTGATAGCAAAATACGTATACACGTGTTTACCTTGCCGATATGAATCATGAACCATTACGAAAGATACATTTTATTTTTATGCGAAATGTGTTTTTTTCTTCTAAGCAAATTCAATCATTTCGTATTTGTGAGTAATTGAACAAATACGCTACGATATTCGAAAAACGTACGTTACTATACACATTTTAAAACAAAAGCGAATGCGTCTATCAACTTTTGTTGCGAATTATTCACAAATACGAAATGTTTCAATTCAAAAAAACGTGACCCATCCTTCCTTTTTTTAATAAAAATAAAATTTATCTTCCGGAATGATTTGCGATTCATATCGGCGAGGTAAACTAGTGTATTTTGGTATAAAATGGGCTTTGAACTAACCCTGCGTATTGCTCAATAAACTAGAACTGATGGCCGAAAAACAATAAGAAATTCTCAAAATCTAGTTGACCAATCTACTCCAATTTTGTTATGGTTATTTAAAAGTACGAATTTAACGAATTAGAAGAATTTCAAGCATCTGCGAGAAACCATCTTCGCATTACCAACAGGTGCCAACACCTGCAGTTTGCCTCGATTTTTAAACATAACTTTTTTGCTATTAGTCGGATCTTTTAACGTGTGGTATATAATTTTGTAGGTCTCATAAATACCTACAAATCTTATATAAAGTTTTTTCGTTCCTGCATACTTTCCCACAAAAATTGGTGTACCCATTCTATGCGTCCATGTTTTAAATACCCCCTTGAACAGCTTGCAGCAATAAAACTAGACTTTACAATTATTTTGCAAACCAGGGGTATTTTCGTCCAATATAATTAGACTATATTGTAAATATGCTTTTATAGAAATAGAATAGTATTTTTGTTCCCTGTTCCCTAAGAGTTTACACCTAGCCTTGAAGTATATGTACAAGCAGTATGTATATTTTAGCCAGTCCAACAAAAAGCTGATCGAAAAAATGGAATGACTAATTTTTAAGATTACAGCTATTTTCCGGCTGCCAGGCGATCAAACTTGAGCATTTTTGTATATTTTCTTAAATTATCTGCCTATATAACAATGACTGATGTGAAAATAATATTTTCCCTAGATGTGCAGACTCTTACTGTAAGTAAAAATACCACAAGGACTTAATAACGTCGAAGGGTGAATATAGACTAAAAAGCTAAAACGGATGTTTGATGTTTTTTTTGATGTTCTGATCACAAAGCTGTAAGTTTCACAGAATTCCCAACGTAGACAAGTAGAAATGAGAATACGAAAATACAAAAACTCATCAAGGTAAAATCATAAGTCAAGTCGCGCTTGTGCCCTTTAGACATACTACAAGCAGAAATACAAATAAATATAAATATCTGACATGGCAAACTTGATCATCAAGGCAACTCGAAACACAGGTAGGAACACCAACCTGTATACATTAATATATGATAACGGATCATCCTCTGGGTTATGTCGGTTCCATCAATGGTGCCAATGATTCCAGGAAATCTATTTTTTAATATATAAATTCCGTTTTGTCCTATATATTTCTTCTTCTGTTAGCCGTTTTATGCTTTCTGGTGCCACACTACACTACTTAAAAAGTTGGTCAATCTGGATATAACTACATGCAGGGTACTCACGGAAACATTGAACCTATCAGCGACATCCCTGAAGATGGCTGTTTGATATCCAGCAAACCACAAAAATATACAGGTTACTACGACGGAATTGCACTGAAAATTTTCTGCGACTGTCTTGCTCACTTGAAAATGTTAGAAAAACCCGTTGCTGTTGAATTATGGCACTGTTTTCTCCACAAAATTCAGGTTTTTGGGTTTCATTCTCTCTTCCGAAAAAAGCTCGGACATTCCCGAGTATTCGCTGCTTAGTATATATCAGAGCTCGAAATCAAGATCAACAATTATTCGAATTTAAAATTTTTTAGAATGAAGTAGATAGATAATTTTGAAAAAGTTCGAGGTTCATTTGCTGTAAACCAGAATGATCTAGGATTTTTCGTCCAACTGTCCAAATGTGCCCGAATTTTCCTTTAGAGAGGAAAACATGGACACCTTCTAGAAAAAATAACAGCATCCAAAAATTTCAAGTAGATTTACTCAGTAATTACGATTCAATTCCCATATATAAAGTATAAACACAAATTCGAAGAACTATGATTCCACACATCGAAAGACAAGTTGAAGAGGTGAGTACCAACATAGTCAGAGTTCTGAATAAACGTCTGCAGTGATTATGCATGAGAAATGTACAAAAAGTATTGTGAATGACTTTTAATAAAATAGTAGGGTTTTTGCTAAGTCCAACCCAAAGCTGATGGAAAAATAAACAAAATAACGAATTCTGGAGATTTTGTGATACAGCTTTTTATCACGGAGAGGGAGTGACTGTTTATGCTGGGGTGATAATAATATTTTCCCTATACAGGGTATTTTAAATTTGATTTAGGCAATTAGCAAAATGTCGCTTAGAAAGTAAAAAACGAAATTTCAGAAATTGGTTTTAACCTTCTCCTGACTTTATTTGTGGAGGGATGTCAAAATAAATTGCACATGAACTCTGCCGCATGTTTTCCTCTACAAGACGGCACAATTAGAATTTCAACATGACGTTTTGTCTCTTGTCTTCCAGCATCAACTGAATTTTTTCTTATAGACGCCATAAATATACACACATGAGTAGATTTTTTATTCTGATTTAAAAAATGTATATCATTCATTGACATTGCAAAACCTTAGGTATTTTAGAAGTTCCTAGGTAGACCTTGAAATTATTAGATTTCATTTGTTTGTATAGCAACAGAGTTTAGGAGACTGTGAATAGCTCCGCTTATTCATGGTTACTATTGTTACTACCATCAATAAAATTTTCATTTCGTATTCAGGTTCCACTAAATCTTTTGTATCCTTTTAATTTTCATCCAACAACAAATTTATGGTCAACTAACAATCACTGAATTTAGGGCTTAAAAAGTCTATTTAATTGTACGAAATTCCAATATAGTGTCCGTATGAGAAAACAAATTTGATAATGGAAGTCGAAAGAAGAAATATCGAATTGAAAATTTGACTACGCCATCTTGCAGATGAGAATGAGTAACAACGACAATATGTAATTTATTTTGAAATCCCATCTCGAATACAGTTGGGAAAAAATAGAGCGGTTTTGGAATAAATCTGGTCATCGAAACAAACATCTGATAATTTCAAGGCCTACCTAAGAAATTCTGCTTTTCTTAAGGTAATCAAGGTTTGACAACGTCAATGTATGACGTGTTATGCATTTTTGAATTAAAAATAAAAACTCTATTCATCTGTGCAAAATTGCAATATAGCGTCCTTAAGAAATAATAAAGTTGATGCTGGAGGACAAGAGACGAACCGTCATTTATAGAAATTCTGATTATGCCTTCTTCTAGAGGAGAAAACGTGGCACTGTTAATGTGCAATTTCATGAAGTCAGGAAAAAATCAGAACAATTTTGGGAAAATACAGTTTTTCCGTTACTCTATGGAAGTACATTAAATTTCGAAACCTTCTAAGTGTCACTTTGTTGACTACCCCATTTGAGCGACTTCGTATCCCTTACAGTTTCAAAGATCCCAATGATGAGGGCGAAATTAGAAACACCCTGTATATGCAGACTCTTACTAGAAGACAGAAGTGAAAATACTACAAGGATTTAATAACGTCTTTGAATGATAAAGGTGTTATACACTAAAAAGCTTAAACGGCTGAACATAACTACAATTCTCAACATCTGTTTACATAGCTATGAGTTCTCAACATGGACAAAAAGAACTGAGACTACGAAAATACATAGGAGTACTTAAATAGCTTAATTAAGCATTTTGCAACTGTAACGATAATTTTCAAAAGATTAGTGATCACAAAAATCGTATTAATTATGGCTCTTGAAAGTTATGTCCTCTGTTGTTTGGATTTCTCATACATAATCTTCGTTTTGCCACTACCGGGACAATAAACAAAATATTGAGCACAAAGCACTCTGCGACTTGCTCACCTGAAAATGTTACAAAAATTTGTTTCTGTTGAATTGTGTTTTTTTCTACAAAATTAAGGTTTTAACAAACTATTGGCTATTTTCGTGATACTGGAGGGCAAGTCATATCACACATCGGGCTCAAATTTATTTTCAGAAGTGAACCTTGTAAAATCCCAAGCTTCTGGGTCGAACGTTTCGCTCTGGAGACGCGTTCAAAGTTTCAAGATTCGGAAGAGTATGAATTTCATACTTGTTGGCAACATTTTCATTTTGTCACTAATAATGTGATTGGAAAGCATTAAGGGCCTGAAATATGTGACTATTCCTAAGAAACGTTGTCCGAAGAATCAAAAAATGGTATTTGAATTGCGATCTGATAATTCGTTCGGCAGAGATTTCAGTCTAAAGTGATTTTATTCTAAATTTTTGATTACTTTCCTGGGCTGACATTCGTCCATTTCTTGCACCTCTGAATGATCAATACAGGGTGGTCGAAAAAGCGCAAGGTGTGTTGTCTCTCAGCGAAAAGAAAAGTGATCATTCTGTATATTCCGAAATTTTTGAATTCCACTTTTTACACGCTTTTCCATGACATGCAGGTGAAGGGGCACACTCTAGTGTCTAGTTTTGCAGTTAGTGTTGGTTCGTTATTAATAGACTTCGCGTCCACATAACAAGGATATAAAAATATTACATCATCCAAGGAAATAAAACGAAGATAGTGGGACCGCCTGCACAGTGTTCCCATAACGCATATTATAACATTTTACCTACCTGTTCACAATTTTTAGCCCTTGAGATAGGGGTCAAAACATAAGCGTAATAAAAATCACTGAGATCTTACCGAATGGTGACAGATTCGGAAGGATTAAAAATATACTAAGACAAGGTTCATTTGGTGTTTCTGAATACTAGTACTACTAGTACTAGTGTACTAATAACCTCGTAGACGACGTAAGAGATGATTGGGATTATAAAGAACCATTATTTAAACATTCAGACTTCGACAAATAATAATAATAATAATAATAATAATAATAATAATAATAATAGTAATCCTTTATTATCCAATAGACATAAGTATGCATAGGATTCGTCAAAAATAAAAAATCTATAACAAACATGGAAAATAAGTAACAAACAAATATGAGAAACAAACATACCATCTACACATTAACAAACTCTGAAACAGCGTACAAATATTTATTTAATAAAAAAGCCTTTGACCTATTTTTAAAATGTTGCAGTGAACTGCAGATTTTTATTTCTTCTGGCAGTTTATTATATATTTTAGGCCCCAAAACTCTAGGTGACCTACTACCGACACATTATTTGGCGAAAGGAACATACATATTTTCACTCTGCCTCTGTTATGAAGGCATTTATATCCTTGAGTTGAGTAGTTGTGTATCCTTATTTTGATACATATATATTGAAAGTTCGTATACAAATAGAGAAGGCAACGTTAAAATTTGGTACTTTTGGAACAGCTCCCTACAGCTATGTAATGAGCTTACTCCGGCCATAGATCTTAGAACTCTTTTTTGAGTTAAAAAGACATGTTGTGCATTGGTCGATACTCCCCAGAAGCACAAACCATATTTCAGCCTAGACTCTACCTGAGCATAATAGAGTGTTACTAACTGGTCTCCAGTCAGTGTGGCTCGTAGAACTTCATACACATATGACTGTGTGTGATATAAAGTTGTTGATATTTTTATCGTTGTATGATCTTTTTTCGACAAAAACTTGTGGCTCATGAGTTTGGTTGATCACACTTAATTCTGACAGCACTGTTCGATGATCAGAGATGGTATATATTTGGTCAATCGTTTTGACTGATGTGCCACCTATGCGCGTCGGCCACCCTATAATCGGAAATAGGTTGGACTCGTTCAGTACGTTTTTTAGATTATCTAATTCAGAATTTGGTGAATAAAAATCTACGTTGAAGTCACCACACAAAATTAACTTATGCCTAGGTTTGTATACATAACTTAAGACTTCATTAAGCTTATCACAGAAAGTTTTTATATTACCTGAGGGAGACCGATAACATACTATCATGATAATGTAGGTATTACCATTCTTGAATTTTGTGGCACACAGCTCTATGTCTTTTTCTGTCGAGAAATCCGAAACATCAATCATGGTACTAGTAACGTCAGATTTAGAAAATATAGCTGTTCCCCCGCCCTTGTACCTTGTTCGACAATAAAAAGTGGTCAAACAGAAATTATCAATTAAAAACTTTTCAATAGAATCATCCACAGACCATGTTTCCGTTAGGCATACTTAACATACACTATTAAAATCTTTTAATAAAATACATAACTCATTTAACTTATCCAAATTAAGACACTGGACATTCAACAATAAAAGTGTAGGATAAAATTCTATGTGACTAGAGTTATATCTTTTTTCTTGTAGAAAGAATGGTTTATAATGGTATTTCTGGGCCACATATTGACATCTAAAGCTTTCTTGAAATTAGACTGAAGAATAGTAACTTTAAAAGATGAATATTCTTCAGGATGCCTTGATTGAACCTGTTTCACAGATGCCTCGGGGAAATTAGTTTTAATCATATCCTCCATTTCGTCGAGTTTCGTACTGGGATGAATTCTACTAACGTGCAGTGCAACTTTCTTAGCAACTCCTTTTACAGCTGAGTTGTCAGGCCCGTTTCCGACAACCAATGTATTCCTACGTCGGTTGCGCTTGCCTTTGGCGACTTTCCAAGAACTGGAGCTACCACCATCGTCACCTTCCTGCGTCTGAACCGTTGGTCGTATTTGAGATGGAATAAGTGATGATGTTGGGGGAGGAGCACACGCTGCAGCAGTAGCGCCAGCACCGTAGGTTGACGCAGAAGATTTGGCGTGTTCTACGGCAGCGGCCACCTGGTGTCTTGTTATTCTACTCGTAGTGCAAGTAGAACCACCTGACGATTGTGCAGACTTTGCTTGGTAGTTATCTGCAGATTTCTTCCCTTTCTGATGAAGTGTCGCTTGACTATAAGATTGTGGTACTTACTGGGCAACTATTTAGCTTCATTTATAGATGTCGTGGAAGGTAACGACATCTTTAACACTCACCTCAGCATCAATAAAATCGTCCACACTGCAGAAGGAGGTATCCTCGTCTTCATGGAATTCTCAATGTTTTGGTTTCATTGTTTCATCGATCAAATTTATACCATAACAGCAAATTATTGTTTTGTCATCTAGTTTTTGTATATTTTTTATATACCCTATGCATCCTGCGTGTATAAGGGTTTTACAATTTACACACTGCAAACCAGTCTTCGCAATAGAACCGCACCTTTTGCAATTTTTAATCTTGTTGTAAACACTCTGCTTCTCACTTGATGCCATCTTTTATATACGTGACGCCATCTGTCCAACTAGTCGACAAATCTGACCACCTTGGCAAAGAGTCTAGCCTTGTCTCAGTTTTTTAGGTCATCTCGTACCGAAATAAGTTTAGATCTTCCAGTTCCAGTTTGTTATGACAGAGCACCAATCGATTATAGTTGTTGCTACAAGCTTGATGATAGAGTTGTACAAAACTTGAACAACAATGCAGACAGAGCTGTAAGTGTTTAGCCTTGAACGGACCACAATTTTAACTGGGACTTGCGAAAAGGAGTTCTTAACGAAAATAAGCTATACTGGGGACAGTTCTCAGAAAAAATAAAATTGAGAGACAACCTTCCTATTTATATTACTCTTAGACAGCTGTATTTTCATTTAGGTAACGCGGTGGCGTAGTGGTGGTGGCTATAGGTCTGCTAATCAGTCGTCGTGAGACGCGCGGATTCGGATCCCATCCCACAATAATTTTTCTTTTGTCTATGGATGTTGTGATTGTCCGTAGGTGGTATATGGCCTCAGACTGTTGAGAGAGGAGGTACCACCTGACGGATCTCTAAGGCGGGACCAGCATGCGCGCATGTTACATGCACCAGAGTCCCGCGTGACGTCACCCCGTCTGTATTCTTTTGATGTTTTTGTTGATGTGAGGGCAATTCGTTGCAACCTACAAAAATGCAACGAATAGCCATTTTGACAAAATGTTCACACAAGATGAACATCTGGCCAAGGCAGAGATGGAAATTTTGGTATCACAAATGGCTAAAAACATCTAGCGGCCATTTCAGGATGATTCACTTTCAAGTAGTTGCTGTTATCGACGCAGTTTTGGAAGTACCACGTACATAATTTTCCTACATTAGCTTATCAATCGAAAATGGAACGGTAATCTCGAGAATCCACCTGGAGTGGTGATAACTATGTATAAAAACTTGTCACGGCAGGACCGCACCACAAAGATGTTGTTACTGTTAGCCATTATCCAGCTGATAGCAATATCAGCAGTTAGTGCTGCCATTTACGACGTTACCAAATATGGTGCCGATCATACTGGAAAAGTTCCAAGTACTGACCCCATAGCAAGAGCCATCAACGATGCGGAAAGCCATGGAGAAGGTATCGTCCATTTTCCGCCAGGAGAATATGTGACAGGGCCAATCGAGCTGAAATCCAACATCATACTAGACATCCCAGAAGGTACGACTATCACCTTCCTCGACGATCCAGCGTTGTATCCTCCACTAGATGTTTCATTACCTGATGGTAAGCGAAGGAAAGTAGATTTTACTCCACTAATAAGAGGTTTTGGGCTGAATAACGTAACGATCAGAGGAAATGGTGTCATTGAAGGGAATGGCGAGATTTGGTGGGATAGACTTCCTCCACCAGCAACTAGGCCAATAGTCATCTACTTTTACGACTGTCAGAACATCACTTTGAAGAATATCACCGTCCGGAACAGTCCTATGTTCAACGTGAATATCGGTTGGTCGGACTATATCGTCATCGATGGCATTACGATCCGCAATCCTGAGTCGTATCATGGATCAGGTCCCAACACCGATGGAATCAATCTTTATTCAGTTACTAAAGTGCACGTAATGAATGTAGACGTCGCTACTGGAGACGATTGTTTAGTACTCGACGCCTGGGGATATAACAAGGATCGAGTTCCCACACATGATGTTCTGATAGAAAACAGTTACATGTCAATTGGTCATAGTGGAGTGGGTATTGGTAGCATTACAGCAGGTGGGATCAGGAACGTCACTATAAGGAACTGCGTGTTTGACTCCGTGTGCAGAGGAGTGGACATCAGGTCTAACAATGAAAGAGGAGGCGTGGTTGAAGATATACTTTATCAAAACCTCACCATGAGAAACTGCACGTGGGAAGGCATTTCAATTAATTTAATCAAAGATTACAACGACAAGGGAAGGCAGCCCATTGGGGATCAAACACCGTTTGTACGTAACATCAGATACGAAAATATCCGTGGCGATGCAGAACGTGAGGCAATCTACTTCTACGGTCTTCCAGAAGCTCCGATTAAAAATGTCGTCCTCGAAAACGTTGACATGCGTTCCAAGAAGCCGGAACCCATACTGTTGAGAAATACCAAGAACATTGTTATCAACGGAAATAGGTACTAAAATAATCTATGTATATATTCATCTAATAAACTAATTCTCCTTTTATTCAGTGTCATCATTATTGTGTGTTTGTTTAAAAAAGTAACATAACAGATTATTATTGAACATAGCTCCTAAAATGTTCCAGTACCGAAATACAGAGTGATGTAAGCTTCTATGCCATTGATGAGACTGTAAATTCAAAACATGAATATTGCTTAAATAATACTATGCTGAGCGGGGATTGCCCTTCGGTTATACTATATACAATCTGCAATGTCAAACCACTATATTTCTTGTATTTTTAAAGTAGAATTATTTAATCCTATTTATATCCAAAAGCAGTAATCTGACAAAATTTTCTCAAGAGAGATGATTTATGTAAGATTGAGTGCTTTGGTAAAAAATGCAAAAAAAAGTTGGAAAGGTCATTGGCGGAGAAAAAATAATTTTCCTCCCTATCCTACAGGCGTCAACATTTTTCGATTTCCGTGCCCCCGTGAAGCAGGGTGGGGAAATGTTTTGTTCGTATTGGTTGTTGCCTACAGAATTCTAATTAATCAATTAGAGTATTAATTAATGAATGCACTCATCAAGTCATGAACATTAATTTGTTGAATTCAATTTTTCATGCATTATACATACAGGTTAGTAATATAGCCGACCACAGACGACCAACCATGGGCAGTTGTTCCATGCTTTTTGGCAACTCTTCAGCACAATGTGCAATGAACGAAAACTGAGCAAATATACTCCTCTCAGAGTATTTTCCTTTTTATTTTTTTTTATACTAAATGCCGTGACATCGCGGCTGTTGCGATGATCCCAAGAAAATTTTGTTAATCCGATTTTTGAACTGCCTAAGGTTAGTAGAACTGGGAAAAGCTTCCTCTTGTAGATCGTTCCACAATCTCGACACTCTCGAGACAAAGGAGCGGTCGTATCAGCTAGTTCTGGATGTACGAAGTTCGACACATTAGGATGGGAGACCAAAGTCAGGCGGGTCTATCTGGCAGTCACATCGTACGGGGGCATCACGGAAGAGAGCTCTGAGGAACAAAGCCCGTTGGTGTAGCGGTAGAAGAGAGCTAGATCGCGGACGGCCCGGCAGTGCGAAAGGGTCGCGAGACTGTCTGTTAGAGAAAAGTCGTCTGAACAGCATCGAGCATAAATAATGTAGTCGAGGCGGCAGCACCCAAAACGTGTGAGAAACACTCGAGGCTTATCTGGGGCTTGTATAGAGTGAGAAGGTCTTGCGGATAAAAGTACTTCTTAGTCCTAAACAAATAGCCTAGCTTTTTCCCAGCAGCTGGCGCTATTGATTAGATGTGTTCGTGCCAGATCAAGTTCTCGGTGATCTGGGCTCCGACCAGCCGAAATGAATGGCTCTTTGGTAGAAATCTCCAATCCAACGAAACCGGATGAGCGCTAGGACACTTTTCGTTCGTCAAGGTACAGTACTGTGTTTTGGAAGCTTTAAGCTGTACAAGATTGTTGCGTTCCCAAGCAGTGATAGCCTAGTTCTCTCCTAAAAAAAAAAGAAAAATCGAAACTACATAACAGGCAACACATAAAGTGACCAGTTTTCATATTTTGTATTTGCTAATGTTTCCTTATCATAATGAAACACACTTATCCTTTATGTTATCTATTTATGTACTAAAATTGCATATCGATATGGTCATTGATATCAGTTTTCAAGATTTCTTCTTTCCATTGAGAACAACATTTTTGGTATTCTTGAGTTGAATATGATGGTAAGATCTGACATCCATATTTGAGATTGTAACATTTCCCACGTGCGATTCTAGCAGACCATCTATCAAGACTGCACTTCCCCTGCTATTACCGTGAATCTGACCATAGCTTATACTTTTAATATAAGGCGATGTGGCATTTCTCACACGTTCATCTTTTTTATGAAAACCATAGAATGTTGATATTGCTATAGCTTCGTGCTGAATATACTGCATGGTTTTATTATAAGCTTCGATATATTCAATTGTACCTCCTCTAAATCTGTTGGTCTCAATCAGGAGCCCTGTAAGGGTGTTTCTGAAGTAACAATGTCTGATAGTCACATTCCTCGCACCTCCTGTTATCTCGCTTCCGATGCTGAGCCCTCCACGTCCAATAAGCATTTGACTTTCTTCAATCAACACATGTTCAGCTGGTATGGCACCGGTCCCTAAGCTCAACGCCTTGAGAGCGAAGCAGTCATCGCCTGTGGTGATGTTGACTCCGTAGATATGGACCTACCTAACTGAGTATAGATTGAGGCTATCTGACCATTCTCTATGCGGGCGCACTCCATAAGGATGTTTTCTCAATCGCAGACGTGGTTGAACACTGGTCTGGTTTGGTGGGGCATCCCATCCCACGTGGTAGTACCTCCTCCATTTATCACTCCAGTTCCCATTCCCCTCATCCCCAGGTCCTTCTGACCATAAGCTCCACTCAAGGGTTTGAATGCAAATTCTTCAGTCTTACCATTAGGTAGTTTTATCTTCATTGGTGGTTACAGCTGTAGGTCTGCCAAGAATGCAAAATTGAGGTGGACCCCTGACTTCAACTCGATCAGACCAGTCAAGTATTGTCCATCTTTGAAAAAGACAATTCCACCGGTAGTTCTTGCTTCATCTATGGCTTTCTTGATAGCTTCAGTACTTGATTGCTTTGCAGTGCGATCAGCTCCGTAGTAAATAACGTTGTATAGGATATCGCCTCCCAATGCACTAACAACCAAAGCTTGAAGCAGATATAGTTAAAAGAACATTTTTGTTGTTCATACTCATTTGAAAGGTACAGGAGTATTTATACCTCCTTATCATATATGATCGTCTTGTTTAATTGTTATTGTCTCGTATTTTAAATTGAAACTAATTTTATTGTGATTTTAATTAGTCATCATGTTTATGATCCAGAACCGATTTTGTGATATTTTGAATTATTTGGAATATGTACAATTCCTCTCTCACAAAAGATGGTTTCTTAAATGCTATTTGCCTTATTCTAAGTAGCATTGCTCACAACACAAATGCAACTACCAGTTTTGTAATGTCATTTTAGTTTTTATTGTCCTTTATCTTAGATGCACTCTTTTTTAGTCTAGCCTTTTGATTTATGTTATTTATTATTGAATTTAGTTAAAGTGCCACAATGTCAGTTCAAGGTTTTCGCATTTCTACCAGTGATCGTGTAATACCAAATTATGTCAGTGCGTGCGTAAGAAGTGCATAGTGCATTAGCAAGTACTTGATAAACTTTATTTATATCTGCGGATAGACAACTGACAATAATGGGATGGCCACACACAAGATTTTTCTTTCGTGGCATTACTTTTATTTGTCATTGATACTCCTTTGTCTCAACAGTCTTTGAACATTTATATTTGCATAATTGAATTTGACAAATAAATTATTATTATTATTATTATTATTATTATTATTATTATTATTATTATTATTATTATTATTATTATTGTGGTCTACAGGATGAATGAGATAGTATTATTATAAGAGAAGAACGGAAAAGAAGAGTAGATAACTTGGGCTGCAAGCTGCAATTCTATCACCAACTAGCCACTCCCCACATCGTGCGGTAAGCAACCAGGTGGTCCGCAAGTCGTGTGCCCTACAAAGACAAAGGGAATCGAGGATGAGCGCTTTCTGCATTCTTCCGGCTGCTTGTCGATGGTCTGCCTACCGGTATAGATTTTTTTGCAAAGAGCAGCGTATTCCTTATCCCATCCAAGGATCCAATGACTATAACTAGCAGATTGACAGCGCGGTATAAGTAAAGCCTGCGAAGCTGATTGAAGAGCTTCAGATACTTGATCTGTTTTTTATCCATCTTCAAGACGAGGCTCCTCTCTGGTTCTCCACAACGGACTCAATATTTCCTGGAGTACAGTGCCGCATTTATACCGGAAGAATGCTAGAAATGGTAGTACGGTGCGAGTACCGATGAATTTAAGTGGTGCCAACATATACTTTATACTCTGACAAGGATGCATGAGCATCTTTGGCATCGGCATGCTCTGCAGTTGGAATTGGGTACATCTGCACCCATACCCCGCACATTTATAGAAAGCAATTACACAGAGTGACTCAATTTTGACCAACACATCAAAGTTGCTTTTTAAACGGAATGCCATATTTTTTATTACATTTTCGGGCACACCTTCTAAACGAAGAAGATTGATAGAACCAAATGTCCCTAGACTGCTAATACGTGTCAAGTCACAAGGTGGCGCGCTGGTTGCCACTGGGCAGAAACAAATCTGTCTACGAGGGACCAACAATATTTTATAAGGAGATTTCTCAGATAGAAGAAAGATGTTAATACAATATTGAGTTGCTGAGAATGACAGATATAATACGTGAGAGTGATCAAAACTGTAAAAAAAAGGATCCGTGATTTTAGCACGTGACACATTAAGTCCTAAGGGCAAATGTACGGGGAACCATATATGTATGAAATATGTCTAATAGGCGCATAGAATTACTGTGGTTAGAAGTTTATGAATACACTAGGGCAGTAAGTACACCCTCCCCCACCCACCTATAATCCCCCTCTTACAATTTGTTGTGTCAAAATTTTTTTAAAAGCAAACGTCAAAAAACTTTTCTGCTTCTATCGCCTGTAGCTCTGCTCTCACTTCACCATTTTTCAAAAGCTACGAAGTTTTTTCGCCCTTGACATAAAACCTTGTGTGAAAATCCTGCTTGTACTTATAGTCGGGCTAAGGATTAGAGGAGAGACGTACCAACCAATAGACCAACGACAATGAGTCGCATGGTATCATTTTGATTTTTTTCTCGACTACAGTTCTTCCTCGCTAGTCGTGTACTTTATCACATAAAAGGTGAACATAAGTAATATAGTATATACAGGGTGGCGCATCGAAAACGAAACAGACGCATTTACTGGCAGTTCATTTTTTTTCTTGGAAAAACGCTTAGACCCGTCGATTTACACGTGCAGCCCCCTGGGGCGGAGGTGACACCAACCCTTAAATCTTAAATGGAAAGGGAGGTCGAGTGATACCTTATTTTAAAGGTCTTTCAATTCCCTTTATAATGATGTAAAATACATGAGCTTCATTTCAGTAGTTTTGAATATTTATTGATTTAAAGCTTAAAGTTGACTTTAATAGGTACATCAGATTAGTTTGTACTACTCTCAGAAGAAGAATTTGACTAAAAGAAATTGTTTAATAAGTAAATGCTTTTCTTCACTATGCCCATGGTTTATCATTTTGTTGTTGAAAATTGGAGCGTTTTTTTGTGGCAAAAAAGATATTTCTTGAAGAGTTTGGAATTGATTTGACCAAACTTTGTTGCTAAAATAACTTGTAACGCTTTATTACATAAATTAATCATGGTATATTCCACAGCAGAAAGAGTTGAAATTATTGAAATATTTTTCGGAAATAATCAGTGCGCTAATAGAACAGCAAAAATATTTAATGAGCGACATGAGAACAATAACGTGCATCGAAAATGTGTCCTAGAACTTGTAGCTAAATTTCGGGAAACTGGGTCAGCCGCCAATAAAAAACGCAACATTGAGAATCACATAAGGATCGAAGCAACAGAAGTGGGGATTTTAGGGCAAGTTTATGTAGATCCTACGTTAAGTACCCGCAAATTGGAGACTGTGTGTGGTCTTAGTCGACGTACTGTCCAATGGATTCTGAAGGTCCATAGTTTTCATCCGTATAAAATAGACCTGGTACAAGAACTTAATGAAGACAATTTTGATCGGCGATTACAATTTTGTGAAGATATGAGTGAACAAATTATAAACGACGAACATTTTCTATTCAACACTTGCTTTTCCGACGAATGTTTCTTTTTCTTAAATGGCGTAGTAAATCGTCATATCTGCCGATATTGGTCCGATTCTAATCCCAGAATTTATCATGAGGTTCATACACAGCAGCCACAAAAGTTAAATGTTTGGGCTGGTACTTTTGACGATCATTTAGTTGGTCCTGTTTTCTTACCTGGAAATTTGACCGCTGAAATGTATTTGGAATTACTGGAAGACGCCATAGATCCTGCGTTGACAGCCATAATTGAAAACCAGAATGATCGGCGGTACATTGCGAATAGGTTGATGGTCCAACAGGATGGTGCCCCACCACATTACACATGACGTGTTCGACAATATTTAGATCAGACATTTCCAGATCGATGGATTGGTAGAAGAGGTGCCATTGAATAGCCCCCAAGATCTCCAGATTTATCACCTTTGGATTTCTTTATGTGGGGTCATTTAAAAATCAAAATCTATGCTACTCAGCCAACATCATTAGAAGACCGGCGACAAAGAATTGTGAATGAGTGCCTCCAAATTACTCCTGTATTGCAAAATGTGCGGCAACGTTCTGAGCAAAATCTTTATTATTGCATGGAGAGTCATGGTGGCCATTTTTAAGATTTACTTGCCTAACGGGATCATTTTTAAATTACTTTGCTGCCAAATGTATTGGTCTCCACTAATGATGATGTGTTAGTTTTATTTAAGCTTTAAATCAATAAATTTTCAAAACTACTGAACTGAAGTACATTAATTTAATATCGTTATAAAGGGAATTGAAAGACCTTTAAAATAAGGTATCACTCGAACCCCCCCTCCATTTACGACTTTGGGGGTGGTGTCACCCCCGCTTAGGGGGGTGCACGTGCTAATGTGATTTTTTGCCAAACCTATGTCCCCATCGAAAACAAAATCGACGGGTCTGAGCGCCTTTCAAAAAAAAACTGAGCTGCCAGTAAATGCGTCTGTTTCGTTTTCGATGCGCCACCCTGTATATAGTAATGCACCTTATGTTAAGCAGACAGTTTCCTGAAGTGTTATCTAACGAACGATAGCTGAAGAAGACTCAACCCTACAGGTACCGTAAATATCACCGCACTGAATCTGACGGATAAACCGTTTCCCACCCCTTAGTAGTACTCTTAATGTATGTTTCTGCTACTGTCTTCTAGCATAAACAATAGCAATGGCAATTATTTCGTCTTCAGTATTCAGCATCTCAGCAGTATGCATTAGTATCGTAAAAACGAAGAACGGACTCTAATATGCCTATACGGGACGTAAGTCTCATTTGAATAAGATATAGAATGGAGTTCTTTGTCTAATAATAATGGAAAGACTATAGCGGTTAGAAAATGAAACACATATTTCAAAGTCTATTGCTGTCTACCATTGATTACAATACTGTCTGTATGGTACAAATAATTTCCCTTGTGTTTCAACGATCGGACATTCAAGTTACTTATGTTAATATTCCTCACTGGGGATTCAGGTACTCCTACCAGCAATACTGGCTCGTTTCCACAACTCCCACCAATACCATCGTAAGTGATGTCACGTATAAATGGAGTGGTATCCTTGATAGGCTCCTCAGGAATGTCTTTATTATGATAATCCTGATGTTTGGAGTCGTATACGGTGGATATAGCTATTCCCTCACCTCTAACGTTTAACATTATTATGTTGCTGTAATTAATATTCTCGATCAGACCACCTCTCTCCCTGTTTGTCTTTATAAACAGTCCCCTCACTGTATTCTCAACCATAAGGTTCCTCACAGTGATGTTGTGGAGTCCACCTGAAGTGACACTGCCAACACTGACTGCAGCATGTCCAGCTGTCATGTGACAATCTTCTATAAGCACGTTGGTTGTAGCAATGCGTTTGGAGCCGATGCCTCCTGCATTTAGTGCTATGCAGTCATCACCTGTGCCGATAGTACATCCAGCGATGTGGACATATCTGCATGATATGAGGTTGATACCGTCAGTGTTGGGTCCTTTGCCATGAAAATCTGGTGGGTTGAAGATTTTGACTCTCTGGATAGAGATGCCAGTGGTATCACAGAGGTGGATATTGTTCATGGGACTGTTTCTAATGGTAACTCCATTGATGACAAAGTTGTGACTGTCAAAGCCGTAGATGAAAGTAGGCCTAGTTGCTGGTGGAGGGAGTCTGTTCCACCAAATTGGTCCATTTCCTTCGAGAATTCCCTCTCCTCTGATACCTACGTTCTTCACTCCTGTGGCACGGATTAGTGGTGTGAATGGGAGATGCCTCATCTATAAAAAAAAACAAGAATGCTGCTTTATGGAGTTTTCAAATCAGGTAATTTGATTTAAATAAATTTACTGCATATGTGAATTTAAAAACAACAAAATTTGTCTGAGACCGCTTACCACCACGAGCAATCAACACATCCAAAGCCAAATAATACATTCTCAGACCAGACCACAGCATCTAGACCGATTTTTCTTTTCTATCCATTATTGACCGAAAATCATCCACGATATTTTAGCTCTGCTTTTTGATCCATTGGTCACAACTCAATGTACCTGACTATTTTCTCAACATCTTTAATGTCAGCACATCATACAGCAGTACCACAGAAGATGCCAGAATTAATTTTGTCGTTAATATATGTACAGGGTGTTCCAGAATAGTGTAGCAATGACACGGATGTACATAGAACATAAAAAGCAATGCCTCAAGCTCATATAAAAATGTCATATTTGGGTTTTTCTAAGGATATACATTTTGTAAATGATCGATAAATCGATTTTTTAGATACTCTTTGAACGATATGTATAATTCAACCAAAGTTTGGCAGCGAAGTAACCAGTGTGTTTCTCAGATGATGGTATCTACGGAAAATATCGCATTTAGTTGCCAGTTACACCTTAATCAAAATTGCCCAATCATATTTCTGCAAAGTTTAGCTTTTTTCTGAAGAGGAAAACGTGAACTTATTCTACTTTCATAAACTGAGCTGAGTTGTTTCAATACTAGTTATTCTGCAGTCGAATCAGAAAATCTGGGACAAAACCCTAAAATGCGATCAGGAGATCCTCATAATTTACGTCATGGGGTTTTTCTGGCCGAAATTGACTGCATTTAAGCTTGCTCAAAATGTGATCATTCTGCCTTTTATAACATGCTAAAATAGCATAGCGACTAGTGCGGCTTTAGTCATCTAAGAATAAACGAGTCAGTTTATTGTATTGCATGAACAGCATCATGGGAGGCCCACATTGGTTACTACGCTATCAAAATTTCTCAAAATAATACAGTGTCATTTTAATGATATTTAGTGAACATCGATTTTCATCAGCGTCCCTTAGAAAACCGTGAGACAGCCTCGAGGAATACTTTTTCGATACTAACCTGAGAAATCGCTATTATTCACTGCATGGACACCGAATTGCTATCACCAGTTACTAACAATTTTTGTTTACTGAAGAAATGCAGAGTCTAATCTGAAATTATTGTTGTTGATTGTATTAATTTATTTTATAATTTTGAAGGCTTGTCAGACGCCATCATGTGGAGGTAGCTTTCCCCTCATACGTAATGCAGCTTTATCTGACAGTGTTGCCAGACGTTGAGGAAATTATCAGATACGCTATATTCTAAATAAGGTCTAATCAGGTTAAATGAGGTACTACGTCGTAGTAGTGAAAAAATGTATACATATACCTCGGTGAAGAAGGCCATTATGGTCCTCGCACATCATATCCTTAGACGCTACGTGCTTCAAGATATAAAAGTGCTCGACCAATAATGGTTTATCTCTCAACTCAGGTATGCAACGTATTTTTTATGTTCTATATACCTGACCCTGTATAAAAAAATTACTGTGGTCTGATGGTCTCGGTCGTGGAGCCTATATATCAGGGAAAGCGTCGACAAGGCTGTAAAAACGAACTCGAAACTATATGCCTGGAGTATCAGTGGTGATTTGACAGTATTGCCATGTTGGGAGATTTACCCGCAATTTGGAGGATATTTACTTTTAAGAGGATTTAGTGTTCTGGGGAACATCACACGTTTCATTGATAGAAAAACATCCCCTCTTTCTATTAATTAACTGTGCATTCTTTTTTGAAATTCTGTGCGGCATGTGAACACCAACAAACAGATTAACAATTATCTAACTCAACTATTTTTGATTACTCATTGTAAATCCTTGGTGTGGATGGTCGGAAATCTGTTGGAAATTATTATTATTATTTAGCCATTTATGAAGAACTGTTGAAGATATATTGTTTGGAATTTTTCGACCACCACGGTACAACTAATGACAATATATTTTGTTCACTTCATTTATTTTTTATTTTCTCCATTAATATACAGTGTTTTGCGACAATAGTCTGATAGTTTCGTACCATGCCGAAACGTCGTATAATAAACAGTAATAGAGACATATATGGTTTTAATTATCGGCCAAACAATGGAGTCCAATTAAAATGTGTTACATAAATTCTACTTACCTTTCCAGGTAATTTCACAATCAAAGGAGGATACAAGTTGGCATCTGGAAGGAACGTAATGACACACCCAGCAGCGACATCTAGAATAACTCCATCCTTCAACTCGATGGGCCCACTTGAGTAGCTGCCAGCAGGTAAATGGACGATACCTCCATTTTCAGCAGCAGCTGCATTGATAGCTAGAGCTATAGCCTCAGTACTTGATCGCCTTCCGGTAGGATCGGCACCGAACGATGTAACATTGTGAACAGCTGCGTTAGCAGCTGCAACGAGTGCAAGGATTGCGATGCTTAGGCGAAACATCTTGTATGACGTGATGTCATGAGTGGTTGTCTTTTTATCACAAGTTTTTTGTTTATGTAAGTCTTTGTATTTTTTCCATTGATAGGTATATCTCGATTGGTATATTGAGATATGAAAATCCTTTGACATATGTGGCATCTACTGGGTGCGCCATCTATTACTTTTTTTACCTATAAGTTTATGTGTTACCATGTTAGTCAAAAGTCATGTGGTATGCATAAATGAACTGTCAAAGGTATTCCATTTATAGTCATGGATTCGTTTACAAAACGGTCGAAATATAAAAAATACTTTTCGCAAACTTCGCACTTGTTTTGGCCGACATGGACGCCCTACAGAGCCTGGAATTCGTTGGATTGTTAATCGTTTTGAGGAAGCTAGTTCAGCTGAAGGTCGCAGACCATACCAACATACATACATACCGCAGTGAGTGAAAGTGTGCGAGAAGATCAACCACCTCGACTAGGCACCGTTCGCAACAATTGGGACCACTTTACACCGGATTTTACACATTGATTTACACCTCCATCCATTCAGAATCTAACTAACAATAGATGACGCACCCGTATTTAAAAAAAATTCACCCGCACGTGATAAAAACATAATTGCTAACACACTATTTTAGGCCTTCAGTGTCCAGCGTTTTTAAGTATCCTCATTTGGGCTCGAGAGTGTAGAGCATTTGTTGTGTGAATTACAACAATTCATCATATCCTTAGTTATTTAGAGAAATCGGAAACGGAAATTACAATTACAAGAGAGAAGCATCATTTTCCAACAAGGCTGTTAGCAATATTGACACGTTGAACTACATTTTGAAATATTGATCTCCGGCTTTGTGTGCTTATTAAAATTTTTTTAATGTTAATAAGTTATAATAAGTTCAAGGTGGTTAGGAATTTATGTTTAGTATTGTTTTTAAATTTTATTTTAGACATATTTATTTGTATTCTGAGCTAAAATTAGGAGGTGGTTGGATAGATAGATGGACATGACAAGATGAGAACAAAGCAACAATGAACACAACAACAATGAAATGTTTTCCGTAAATCCTTGTTGATCAAACGATAAGAAATTGTTTTTCTCACATCTTTATAAGTAGTAGCTCTTGAAAGTACGTCAGCTGTTCTAATCGTTCATGAGGATATTTCAAGTGTCCTTCATCGTTATTTATTACTTGTTTTCACACATAAGTGGAAAACGTACTTTTATAGCGGAAATTCTAGGTTGAGATAACACGTTTCAGGATCTTTTATCATATTTGAACAATTCCATTCATCCATTTTCGAGAATATGTCAATATACCTTTGCCATCTGTCTTTATAAATTCGCAACTGTATCAATCCCGGTGGAATTCTAGGAAGGCTTAATTTGAAATAAACTTCATTTATGTCCCTCTTTCATTTCAATTTTAACGTTACATGACATATAACATCATGAACACACATAATATGTTTATTATCGTTCATTTCCATTAGTCGGTTTTAATACAATTCAGTGGCTGCGAAACTAGAGACAAAAAAAAGAAAAAGGTTAAAATCGCTCAAGCGTCTTTTTTTAACGTTTCAGCGGCTGCTGAAAAGTGTCGTCCATGGTATTAACATCATCATCATATTATCAAGAAGCTTCTGATCCTAGCAATATTACGCAACTGTTAGACAGAATATTCATACAACTGTTAAATTAAAACGTTTGTTGTATATATCATGGTTCATACTAACCCGACTGGAGTAGTCCGTGTGACCACTCGATAATGACTGTTCAGTTTGAAACAGCCGCACCTGCAGGGTCATTAAGTAAAAACCCTATAAAATGTAAAATTGCTGCCTAGATAGTTCCTAGTGTACAAATAGTACTTTCTGCGATGGCTCGCTATTAGCGCTATTAGTGTCATCAAAAGCATCCATCTATGGAGGAATGACTAAACGATCCGACACGCTCAATGGCCATGTTGCAAGCTGCAAGTCAGTTTGTTTGTGTTTGAGAAAATTATTACTGGATATGCTGTCCATGAAATATATTTTTTAGCTATGCCAAACGGGTTATTTGTGTGTTGTTCAAAGTTATACATTACGATTTCCTCCGTTTTTTGCGTTTTCAAAAACTTCGAGAAGCATTCCGGCAAATCAGCACCGCACCCCCGTTATGTGTAATCAAGTCGCATCACCGAAAAACTGGAATGACGCATCATATATAAGACACCGCTTCCCAAGAATTAATAAATTTTCACAAAAACAATGTAAACATTAACGATTCGCTCAGCTTCCAACTGTTAGACAGGGCCCGTCTAATCAAAATTCTAACTAATATCGAATCAAATACCATTCGAGAGGATGGTTTCTCTATGAGAGACCTAAAGTTATGTATCCCATCTTGTACGAATGCCTTGCTGAATATAATCAACGCATGTATTTTGGGGGGTTATTTCCAGAAATATGGAAGAAAGCTATTGTTGAAACCTTACCAAAAATAGCAGAACCTAAAGAATTTACAGACTTGAAGCCTATTAGCATATTACCCGAAACATCCAAAATATTAGAAAGGCATACGAGTATTTATAATCAAATTAGATTTTTTTGTGATTCAAACGATATCATACCGAATAGTCAATCTGGTTTTAGGAAAAACTTTGGTACAAATATAATACAAGCAATAGGGAGCCTAAAATCTGATGCGAAGGGAATTGATGGTATATCCCTGTCAATGATCCAGCTTTGCCAGTTATTCTCCATCACATCGTCCACATCTTCAACGACTGTTTGGAAAAAGGCTACTTTCCAAACACATGGAAACAAGCTCTAATTATTCCAATTCTTAAAAAAATGAAACCCACTGAGTATAATGATCTCAGACGTATCAGTTTATTACCAATTTTATCCAAAATTTTAGAAAAAATTATAAAGTTCCAATTGACTGCTTACCTAGAAAAATTCTTTATACTTCCCGACACTCAATCCGGATTTAGAAAAAAATTATAGTAAAACATCTGCCCTACTTAATCTGCAATACAATATTTTAAGTGCCTTAGATAAGAAAATGGCACTAGCCTTAATCTCTATAGACTATTCGAAAGCCTTTGACAGCATCAATCATAAATTGTTACTTGCTAAATTAAATTACATAGGTCTTGACAGTGTATCCCTTTCATTTTTCGACAATTACCTTCATCAAAGAACTCAGTGTGTTTTTCTCAATCAAGAAATGTCTCAAGTGACAATAATTCCCTCAGGCGTACCTCAGGGCTCTGTATTGGGGCCGCTTCTGTTCCTCATATATACGTTCGACTTAAGCAAAGGTATTGATAATTCTCATGTCCAGTCATTTGCAGACGATACGCAATTGCTTCATTATTTTAACCCAGATAATGTCAATAATACTACTCAAATTTTACAAAACGATGTTAATAAATTAATTAAATACTCTTTAGATCACAATCTACTTATTAATCCACAAAAATCTAAAATGTTATTAATTTGCGCACAAAGAAAAACATACAATGTAACACAGCTCTTGAAAATTCAGATAAATAACCAAATCTTGCAATTTTTTGATTTTGCAAAAATTCTTGGTGTTGTTTTTGATACAAAATTAAGGTTTATTGAACATGTTAAAAGTCTATCTCAGAAAACCTACCTACGGCTGCGCACTCTTGTAGCAAACAGGTATTAACTAAATTTTAAGATGCGTAAAAAACTATGTGAAGCATTGGTTATATCTATACTAAATTATTGTAATATCGTATACTATACTTGTTTCGACAATTTCACTGAAAACGTTATTCAAGTTATTCAAAACAATTGTATAAGATTCATTTTTGGCTTACGTAAATTTGATCATGTATCAGCGAAATATCCCGTTCTAAACTGGTTAAAAATTAATGACATGGTCAAGTATCACTATTCAGTTTTTGTTCACAAATTGCTGCTCACGTCTAAACCTTATTACTTGAAGGAAAAAATTTCATTTAATAATGATGTTCACTGTAGAACTCTCAGAGAAAATAATATCAGAATCCCCCTGCATACGTCTACACTTTTTAAACGCAGTTTTTCTTACAATGTTGCTATTATTTATAATGACCTTCCTAAAGTATATAAAGAATTTTCATTACCTTTCTTCCGACAAAAAGTTAAAACATTATTACTCAACCCTCCACACATATAATTTACGTAATCATTCTTTTCTTTTTTATTCCATCTTTAATTCAGATTAATAATTTTTTGGTGCATTTGGGTTTGGAAAGTATGCCTTTTTCTCTTTTTTAAATTTTACTTTCGATGTAATGAACCAAATCTGTTTGTGGATAGTGTATCCTTTTGAACATCTGCTAGAGACTATATGGTTAAGTGTAAGAGTAGCAGCATGCTAAACTTCGCCATATAGGTCTGACATTTGGCTATACTACAATGTAATTGTGGATAAATAAAGACGTCTATTATTATTATTATCAAGTACATCATTAGTTAATATCTTGGATGATATCAGACATCACCAAGAACAAAAAAATAATACGTGCATGGTTCTTCTCGATTTTAGTAAAGCGTTCGACACTCTGAATCATGAAATGTTACTAGCCAAGTCATCACCAGGGGTTTTCGCAGAACGTAAATCTAATAAAAACATACTTAAGCAACCGGTCAAACTGTGTTATGTTAGCAAATGATTCCGCTATTTACAAAACCGATTTTAAACCTATAAAAAGAGGAGTTCATCAATTTTCAATTTTATCTCATTTGCTATTTTAAATCTACATATCTGAAATGGTCATATCGGTAAGATTCGCAAAGATAAAACAATATGCAGATGACTCACAAATATATCTCCCTTTCAGTAAAACCACACTCCATATTGCACAACAACTGAATTCAGATCTCCAAAGTATTGTCAGATTTGCAAAGCATCACAATCTTAAACTAAAACCCTCAAATTCGCAAGTAACGGTTATGAATAAAAACAGTAATGAAAGAGGACATTTTGAACAAAATTTAGTAATTTCTATTAACAATGACAGAATCCCCATGGTTCAGGAGATAACAAATCTAGGAATTATATTTGATAGCTCGCTTGGATTCGGAAGTCATTTAAGAAACAGAACAAATTTAGCTTACATGCGACTAAGAAATATAAACAAATTAAGAAAAAAATTATCAGCCAAAAAAAAATATTATCTGTGTAATACCTTAATTTTATCACTTTTTGACTATGTAGATGTCGTCTATGGTGATTCGCTATCATCGCGAACCAAAAAATGCATATAAAAAGTTCAAAATAGTTGCATGAGATTTGCGTTTGGAATTCCATGTCGAAACCATATCACTCCTTATCTGAATAAATTAAACATGACGAATCGCAGAAAATATCACATGTATTCTTTTATCTATAGGGTTATAAAAACAGGTCAACCACCGTATTTAAGAGAAATATTTGTGCCTTTGCCTAGTGCCCAGAAGAACTGAAATAATCTCAATTTTTTCGTACCTAGGCATAGAACGCGTTCCTTCCGACTACCGTTTGCTTATGTGGTGGTTCACTTATGGAATAATTTGCTAACTTCAGTTAAAAGCTCATCGTCAGAAACATTCTCAAAACTGACAAAAACGTTGTTACAGAATCACCAGCTACTTTAGCAGCGTTTTCGTGAGCAAAAATATCGTTTTTACATTCCTACTCGCTGACAAGTTGTATAGATTTGTTCTTCGCGTCCGTCGCAAGCTCCCGGAGGTTCTTTCTTCGTTTTTGACTTTTTGTGTTTCACCGCCTTTTCATTTGCCTCCTTATTGTTTTTATTTTTATGGTGTTCAGGGCTTTCTCGCATGGACTGTTTGTATTAAACGGTCCAATGTATCGGTTTTATTATCGAGAGACTGTCCTTTTTCGTCATTGCTCTATATTGTAGAATTTCCTTTGCTTATGATGTTTATTCGTTACGAAATAAATATTTTGAATTTGAATTTGAATATACAAAACATTTTCGCACTGTCTCACATCTATATTGAGTTACAAAACAAGGTAAACAACTACGTATGTTTATTAGAATTCAAGAATTTTTTGCATATCAATTTATATTGCCATGAACAAGAAGTGATAAAATGGTCAGATGTTTCTGTCAAGTTTTTGTGGTGGCTGCGTGTACGGTTTGGTGATAAAAGACCAAAAGTGTGTATTATGAAGATTATTATCCCATTTCGAGTAAAAATATCAATGGCCAACGTATCAGCTGTAAAAGGGGCATTTCAAGCATTTTCTTGAAACAACCACTCACAAAGTCTTACTCTTAGGGGGTAGTCTGTAGGTAGCAACGCCTGGACTCTCTGGAAATGATAAGGGTACAGTTGGGCCTCATGTAATATGCACCACGCTGTTGCATGTGATACTTCAGGACCTGTTGGGCTAACTGCCTTGTGCTTATTCCCGGATTTCTTTCCACAATATCCAAAATTTTGTCTTCGGCATTTAAAACGCGTTGTGGGCGAACCCGACCCCCTCCCACTCCAAGACTGGGGCGCAAATCTCCACGAATTTTGTCCTGCTTCTCAGTACGCTAAAACAATCTCCACTCACTCCTCATTAGTGTACACATGTGCCAGTTTTATTAATAAATAACTAAAAACATAAACACACAAAACACTTTCTTATTCAACCTCACAAAAATCGACCGTTCTTGATTCAGATCGCCCACGATACAGATTAAGCCTGATTCACACGTTCTTATCTGCATGAAAAAACAAAAGATTTCTCGTATTTTGTTATTGGTCAGTTGTTTGGTACAACATCTGCTACAATAAATTATTAACCCTTTCCGTTCTACTGGTCGATCCATATAACCACCTATATTAAAACACGTAATTTCAGTCCTACTGGTCGGGTAGCCTTACCGCGGTTTAAAAGTATTACCGTTAGTGACACCTATCGGGAAAAAAATTGACGTCTCTGCCCCGTGCGAGGAAGTGTGTATTCCGTGAAGTTTCTTTATCCATTGCGAAGGTTCCGTGTGTGTCTTTTTTCGGCTGTTTATAAACGTGAACACACTGAGTGAAAATTGAAATGACACGTCAGTATTTAGTTTCATAACTGTAATATTTCATACCTTCCGACTCAATTGATCAATTTACCATCTGACAGGGTTTTGTTCCGTGTAATATGTAGTGGTTTCTTGAGGTAACCACTAGGACTGTAAACGGTCATTTATTTTTTTTTACAGAAAAAAAGAAATGGAGTGGATACAAAGTTTGGGTGCGAGCTGATGCTTTCGGGTATATTTGCGAATTTCAAATATATTCTGGTAAAATTGGTGACTTGCGACAAAAAGATTTAGGAGGAAGAGTAGTCAAAGACTTGACAAGAGATTTGCAACAACAAAAAAATAGAATTTTGTTTGACAACTATTTTTCAAGTGTTCCACTGCTCAGCTACTTGAAACAAAATGGAATTATGTGGTTGTGGCACTTTGAGAAAAGGGAAAAAATAATTGCCAGATGACTTTATCGATGATAAAAAACTAGCGCGAGGCCAATATGACTGGAGAATGACAAATGATATGTTGGTATGTCTAAAATGGAAAGACAATAAACCTGTTTATTTCTTGTCAAATTACCATAACAATCAATAGAAAGAATAAAGATGGAACTGTGTCAGAAGTAACTTGTCCGTCCTTGGTTGTGGATTACAAAAAACATATAGGTGCCGTCGATAACGCGGACATGCTAAAAGAATGCTACGCGATAGATCGAAAAAGCAAGAAGTGGTACCATAGGATAGTTTGTCACTTTGTCGATACTACGGAAGTCAACGCGTACATTTTGTTTCAAAAACGCTGCTGCGGTTCGACTCTCGACTTGAAACAGTTCAGGATAAATGTCTCTTCAGGACTTGCGTCTGGATGCATTACCAAGAAAAAAGGTCGAAAATCAAGGGAACCCATAAATCATTATATAAAATACGTTCCCATTGAAAAAAGGACAGAAAAATCTGGTCACATGCCTATATATGGAACTTCCAGACGATGCGCCATCTGCAGCACAAAAAAGGAAACTCATAGGAACATGTGGAGTCGCACGATTTGCGATGTAGGTTTATGCCTGAATGACAAGAGAAATTGTTTTCTTGCATATCATAATGACGATTAGCCTCATGTTGTGGAAAGATAATGCTCTGTTTCTTTGGTAAAAGTTTTTGTTTGGTGGTCCTACTGGTTCGTTCGTATTTCAAAAAAATATGCGTAATGCATTTTTTTCACAAAATGTTTGACGTTTTTTACATCATTTAGGTTCGGAACCAGGTTTATGAAGTGAAAATCCTAAAATTATTTAATTCCGGACACAAAGGGTTAATGCGTGTTCTAATATCACGACGATGAACGCAAAATACAGATATTTATTTTTCAATCTATTATTGAAACTCAGGTGCATGACTTAATTTCTGTAAGACTTTTATTTCATGATTTTTTTGAGAAATCAACTTGTTTCACATCATTGCATATGTGGTTTAAATTTGTCGGATAAGTTGTGTATTTGCCAAAAATTATTGAAATCGGATAAACATACGTAGGTGTTTACCTTTTTTCGTCACTCAGTATATAAGAAAAACAAGAATACTACTTTATTGAGAAAATTATTACTGAATCTGCTGGGCAAGAAGTATATCTATTAGCTGTGACAGACCGCTTATTTGTGTTGCCGTTTCTGAAGAGAAGTTATGTTCATTGTTCAAAGTCATACATTACGATCTTCCCCATTTTTTTGCGTTTTCAAAAACATTTTCGCACTGTCTCACATCTAGCCGCTGATCTGTATTTTCTACTTGACATCGTAAAATAAAATTAATAAAATTTAAATGACTGCAAATACAAATTAATGTAAAGTGTAATAACTTTATTACGTTTCATAAATATTCCTGTATGCAACGAATTTTCTCACTTGTGAGTTTTTATATATTTCACAAACCAGGGATTTTCTTTTCTTACTGCTCTCTTTTTTGAAATTAAGCAAACGTTCATGTATAGTTTCCAGGTTGAATAAGAAAAAGCGGATGTGCAACTAGTTTTTAGTTTTGCATACATCTCAAGTAAGTGTATTTGAGACAAGAAACCGATGGAATTATCATCAGCAAAGATTATTATTAGCACACAAATCCTCACTATGCACATATGCACTGCCGTTTCCTTCCAGCTATAGTATGCAACTTACAGCTTAGACCCTCAATAATGCCATCTCTAGAGCAGATGTTACATCACATCAGAGACAAACATTGATCGCTGAAGCTTCATGACATTTGGGCAACACGTACAGCTACGGAACGAGTACGCAATAAGTGTACAACAGCTAGTGCTAAGTTGACGTTTTGTAGAAAAACCTAAATAATGTCACAAAAAATCTATATAATTCCAAAAAACCGACGTAAAGTCACTTTTCAAGACACATAATACCCCTGCCGTGTAGTAGTAGTAAGTTACTGACACTGCATCGATTCTTTACGACATTATGTATGTTTTCCTATAAATGTTACCTTTACTTAAGCTAGCTTTCTCACTTGTAGTAGGCGCGTAAAATTATCTAGCGGTACGCTAATCCCTACCTAATGCACAAGTTGAGATTTTACATGTTTGCTTGACTATATAGGTTTTTTACGTAGTAACCCTGCCGTTTGCCAAACCAGCCATCACCACGCGTTCATATCTTCACAGTCGAGGATTGGCTTCCTCCCTCACCGCTTGTCTCCACAGTAACATAATTTAATTGATGACAAAGTTGCATCGTAGAATCACACTGCTTAATAAACAAACAAAAAATTCGAAACTGCATAACAGGCCACACAGTCTTTATCTTTTGTATTTGTTGTTGTTTTCTTATCATAATGAAACACACTTATCTTTTATGTTATCCATTTATTTACTAAAATTGCATGTCGATATGGTCATTGATATCAGTTTTCAAGATTTCCTCTTTCCATTGAGAATAACATTTTTGGTGTCCTTGAGTTGAATATGGTGGTCAGATCTGACATCCATTTTTTGAGATTGTAACATTTTCCACGTGCGTTGCGGGGAAAACCATCTATCAAGACTGCACTTCCCCTGCTATTACCGTGAATCTGACCATAGCTTTTACGTTTTTAATATAAGGCGTTGTGGCATTTCTTGGCTTCACACGTTCATCTTTTTCATGAAAACCGTAGAATGTTGATATTGCTGTACCTTCGTGCTGAATATCCTGCATGGTTATATTATAGGCATCGATATATTCAATTGTACCTCCTATAGATCTGTTGGTTTTAATCAGGACCCCAAGAAGGGTGTTTCTGAAGTAACAATGTCTGATAGTCACATTGCTCGTACCTCCTGTTATCTCTCTTCCGATGCTGAGCTCTCCATGTCCACCAAGCATTTGACTTTCTTCAATCAACACATGTTCCGTTGGTATGGCACCGGTCCCTAAACCCAACGCCTTGAGAGCGAAGCAGTCATCGCCTGTGGTGATGTTGACTCCGTAGATATGGACCCACTTAACTGAGTATAGATTGAGGCATCTGTGTTTTTGCCTTTTGAAACATTGTAGATATGAATATTCTTGATTGTGATCATGCTGCTGTCAACCATTTACAGATTGAACATCGGACTACTCTATGCGGACGTGCTCCATAAGGATGTTTTCGCAATCGAAGAATGGATAATCTCCGGTCTGGTTTGGCAGGGCAACCTATCCCACCAGGTAGTACCTCCTTCATTTATCACCCCATATCCCATTCCTCTTATCCCCAGGTCCTTTTGACCATGAGCTCCAATCAAGGGTTTGAATGCAATGTCTTCAGTCTCACCATTAGGTAGTTGTATCTTCATTGGTGGGTACAGCTCTAGGTCTGCCAATAATGTAACATTTGCCCTATTAGCAAAATTGAGGTATGAGGTAATTGAGGACTCCAACTCTGTCGGGCCAGTCAAGTATTGTCCATCTGGGACAAAGACAATTCCACTGGTAGTGCCCAATGCACTCACAACTAAAGCTTGAAGCAGATATTTTTTTTTTTATATCGAAACAGCCGCGCAGACAGAAGCCTAAATGCCGGAACACCGCGGCTGCTATGATGATCCCAAAGAAATTTTGTTAATACGATTTTTGAACTGCCTAAGGTTAGTAGAACTGGGAAAAGCTTCCTCCCGTAGTTTGTTCCACAATCTAGACACCCTCGGGACAAAGGAGCGGTCGTATCGGCCAGTTCTGGATGTACGAAGTTTGACACGGTTAGGATGGGACGCCGAAGTCAGGCGGGTCTGTCTGGCAGGCACATCGCGCGGCGGCATCATGGAAGAGAGCTCTGAGGAGCAAAGCCCGTTGGTGTAGCGATAGAAAAGAGCTAGATCGCCGACGGCCCGCCGGTGCGAAAGAGTCCCGAGACTGTCTGTTAGAGAAGAGTCATCGATCAGTCGGACCGCCCTCCTCTGGACAGCATCGAGTGAGAGTGAGAAGGTCATGCGGAGAAAAGTACTTCTTAGCCCTAAACAAATAGCCTAGCTTTTTCCCAGCAGCTGCAGCTATTGAAGAGATGTGTTCGTGCCAGATCAGGTCCTCGGTGATCTGGACTCCGACCAGCCGAAATGAATGGCTCTTTGGTAGGACTCGACCGTCCATCGAAACTGTGTGAGCGCTAGGACGCTTTTTGTTCGTCAAAGTACAGTACTCTGTTTTGGAAGCATTGAACTGTACAAGATTGTTGCGTCCCCAAGCAGTGATAGCCTCCAGGTCTCTTGTCAGAGAAGAAGTCGTCGCTAGTCTTCTTTTTTCCAGCTCAGCGGCAGAGATCGGCCTGTCACTCTGAATTCCTGCATGTAGACTGCTGTCATCAGCGAAGCTGTGGATTGGGTTGATCGTGCAGGAAAGGAGGTCGTTGATATGTAAGAGAAACAGTGTCGGAGCCAAGACCGACCCCTGGGGAACACCCGCGTTGACGTCGTGGGATGAAGAGGAGAATCCGTCAATTACGACGGATATCTTGCGGCCAGAGATAAAGTCAGCCACCCATCTGCAAAGCTTTTCTGGGAGGCCGTAGGATGGAAGTTTGCTCAAGAGGGCAGCGTGCCACAGCTGATCGAACGCTTTCGTGATGTCAAGAGCAACGACATGAGCCTCACCATGAGACTGGATGAGTTTACTCCACAGTTGCGTGACGTAAGCTAGGAGGTCCCCTGTGGATCGTTGGTGCCGGAAACCGTACTGCCTGTCGCTAATCAAGCTGTGACGTTCGAGGTAGTCCAGAAGCT